TAAATAATTTTACAAGTTCAAAACTCTTTTCTGACCTCGTACTCTGACATTCGATTTGGAAAATATGTTCACTGCTGGATCCTTGAAAAAGTGATTTAGACATTTTGTTGTCCTGAAAGAAAGTAAATAATAATTACATTATTTTTTCCTAGCTTTACGGATGGTAAAATTAAGGTAGAGAACAACTGACTTGCTTAAGACAATAACGAAAGCAACAGAGTCAGGCCCACACCCAGGGCATCCTGCATCTCAGTCAGCTCACTGTCCATGCACAGGTTTTCCACAGAGCCTTTGCATCATTTTGATTCTCTTGTAGCTTCAGACCAATTGCTGATTTATTTTTAGCAGGCAAACCTACTGGGGAAGAGAGAAATTAACAAACAAAAGAAAAAGATACAAAGCAATAGGACAGAATGAATGTCAGAGGGAGGATAAAAGTTAAACAAGAGTAAGAACTATAGGAAGTCAAGAATAACATGCAAGCAGATGACATGCATTTTATTCATGAAATTTTATTTCCCTAATCCCACGACACTGTTCAATCCCTTTCTTGTCTGAATCTCCCTAGCATTTTGTTTGTTCTTCCCTAATGACATTTATCAGATCTTGCCCTGCTGTACTATACAGTGACAATCACACCCTGACCAGAACTTCTGACTAGATTATGAACTCTTTGATGGTAGTCAGTGTTTCGAACAAATTTCTTTCTCCCACCAACTTTAACAAGTTTTTTGAATTAATAAGAAAATGTTCATAGTTAGAGTGGAAAAAAAAAAAAAAAAAAGGCTGAGCCCATTTTTATCTCCTATTTAGAGAAGTATTTGTCTCCAAAATTTGATTTTGAAAAGCTGAAAAAGTTGTTTGGGACATTAGCACTCAACTAAACACATGAATAAAAACTACCAACTTAGCTCTCCATAAGTAAAAGAGGGACAGAAAGAAGGAGCTTGAGATTCTTCTTTCTGCTGTGGCATTTTAGTGTGCCCAGCTTTGTGGAGGGAGGGAGATGGCTGCTGAAGCTTCGACTTGGGGTTCAAAGAGAGCTCTCCAGCTCAGAATCACACAGAGTTGGAAATGGACCAGCCCTGCCTAAACTCTTCATTTGCAGATAAAGAAACTGAGACCCAGGGAGACTGTCTTGTTCAAGATCACTAAGCTAGGTGGTGGCATAGCCTTAATTGAATAATTTTCAAATAAAGTAGTAAACCAAGCAATGTATTAAAATCTTTCTGTAGAGACCCTAGATAAGAAACCTAACATTTTAAATTAACAAGTGCTATAGTAACATGCATAGAAAATAAATGGAGGCTACTGAACAGATCTGTGACAAAGGCAGGACTAAAAGAATTTTCAGGCTACATGTTTGAGGTTGTTTGCTGATGTTCAGTCTAAGCGTTGAAAACTCCATTGCTTTGAGTCCTGACTTGATGGCCAAATGGGCAAGGAAGGACACACAGTCCTCAATTCTATTTACACATTTTGCCTAAGAACACAAAGTAGACACAGACTTCTCTGCCTTGAGGAGCAGGAGAAAACCTCCAGGTTGGTTCTTTGGAGCATTCCCACTACCAGAGGGGAAATTCCCCATCAGCTGATGGAAGAAGTCTAGCAAACAAGGCC